AATGTTGTTGAAAGCTTTCACTGTGTCATAGATAGAAGGTTCTAAAAACGCTCCCAAATAAAATTACTTCTAACCCAGAGAAATTATGAACTTCCCAAAGAATTTCTTTGGGTTCAACCCAGAGAAAATTGAAATTTCTCTGTAGAGGAGGGGGTCTTGGAAATTCAATGAGATCAGATCTAATAAAGTTGGTATAGTTGAAAATTTCTCAGAATTCATTCATCAAATTTCACTTAACATTGAAATCTTTCTTGACAACCATAAAAAACAACAAGCAACGTTCATCATCATCATCATCATCATCATCATCATCTCCTTTCTACATCATCTGTAGCAGCACCATGAAAAGCAAAATAAGCAAGAGCACTTTGATAGTATCAACACAATTGCACAACAAGATAAATGATTAATTGGAGATAGCATGAGACAATAACAAAACTTCCATAGAAATTTGAACAACCAGAGAAATTTGAACAACCTAGAGACCTACCAGAGAAATTTGAACAAACCAAAGATCTACCAGAGAAATTTGAACAACCAAAGAAATTTGAAGGAAACTAAATTGCAAGATATCTCGGAGGAGAATGAGGGGCTGCATATGAAGCTTGAGAAGAGCTTACCAAGCCAAAGAGAATATGAACTGGAAAAAGAACTGAAGAAATCAAAAGACAACATTGAACATTTGAGGGCAAATTTGATGGATAAGGAGACGGAATTGCAAAATATATCAGAGAAAAATGAGATGTTGAAGTCAGAAATGAAGGGAAGAGAAATGGGGAAAAGTTCGAAAAAACACATCCAGAGGCAAAGCCAGCAAGGACAGAAAAAGCAAACTCACACTTTGTAGGAAGAGATTAGGGAGAAAGAAATAGAAGAGAGTTTCCAGTATAAGAGAGAGAGAGAGAGAGAGAGCGGAGTCCTCTTCGTCGGCCTGTCGATTGCCGCGATTCCATTTCGGTGCTTTCAGAGTAACTCGTTGATTTGGTCTGTGTTCACAGCTCCATCAAGACCACGGTTCGTGGGTCTAGACGTGTTTAAGCAAGAACAAGGTCTGATAGCTGTGAGCAAGCTCACGAGAATGAGGGAAGAACCTAGGGTTTGGGGTTGATGTAGAAGAGAGAGAGAGAGAGAGCAGAGAGTGAGAAGAGAGAGACTTCTTAAATTTCTCTGTGATATATGAGTTTGGGGTTGAAGGACCTTAGATATTAAAAAATAATTTTGTGGATCTCTCCTATTACGAAAAGTGGGAGAGGGATCCTAGACTAATTTTTCCAAAATTTTACTATGAAGTGACTTTAGCTAAATTCCCCTAACTTCTTTGATTTTAGTATATTTTTATTAAATAAGTTTGACAAAAATTAGTATTTTAAATGTTTTATGCATGTATACCTTGAGTTTAATCACAAAAGTGTATTTTTTTCATTTCACTTAACGAAAATTGACAGATAATTTAGATCAACAATTAAAATAAATTTATAAGTATTATAAATTAATAAAAAATATATAGTTAAGATTTTATTTCAGAAAAATTTAAATTTAAAAATGGTGTAAGTTTTTTAGTTAATTATAACATTTACTCATTGGTTTATGAAATGTCTAACTAACATTTATATAAATAAATTATTTAACTTCAAAATAATTGTAACAAAAAGTTGCAAATACTACCATTAGGGGTGGGCAATGGTTTATCCGAACCGTTCGGACCGCTCAACTCGCCCAATCCGCATACAAATGGGTGGTTTCGCAAACATAATGCGGGCGAATGTGGTTCAAAATATGACAAATTTGCAAGTTGCGGGCGGGTCGTGGTTTAAACCCGCAACCCGCAAAAACCGTCCGCACTTTAATTATTATTGTTATTATTATTATTTTTTATATACCAACTTTGTAATTTTAACAGGAGCCCCATTATGGTTTCTATGACACTAGGATCCTTATTTTTAAGTATTTCTCAACTTTCTTAATGCCGTAGAATTATCAAGTCTTAAACTTGATTTCTTATATATTTTCATTAGTGACTCATCCACTTTTTTCTAATAAAATTTTGCTGCTGGTGGTCGATGGAGCTTCTAGTTTGATTATTGATTACTGAACTGGCAATTCTAATCGCGTACAACCTTTAATGCATTGATATATATTTTTTAATGCATCAATATACATTTTTTTCATGGCAAAAATGCTAGTGTAGAGTCTCTTTGTTTTAGGTACTTTCATTTAATGCATTGATATTCAATTTTTATTTGTAAACTCATCAGAAAATTGTTGTCAAATAATCACAAATATATAAAATGAATCTGATGCCTAAATTCGATGGGAAAAAAAACTCAAAAATTAATTTTTAAAGAAAAAAGTGTAAACCGCAAACCGCCCGCACATACGCAAACCCTATCCGCATAAATCGTAAACCGCACTGCAGGCGGTTGCGGGTTGATTTTTTCCCAAATCGCATAGATACGGACCGGTCAAAACCAAACCGCAAACCGCACAAAACCGATCTGTGAACACCCCTAACTACCGTGAGTTGCTTTACTACGTGATGACATATTTAAAAAATAATTCAGAATTACATTTTTTATAGAAAAAAATTGTGTTACAAAAATTAATCAATTATTTGCTGTGTTTATAAAATAAAAAGAAAAAATTGGCTTTCTTTACAAAAGTCTAATTTGTGTAGTATTATTGATAAAAAGAATATATTTTTTTATTATTTTTTATTTTTATGTTTTTGATTTTTTTTTTGTACATGTTAAAAATAAAATCAGTTTTTTGACGTGTTTATAAATTTCTAAAAAACTGGTTTCTTTAAGAAATACTAATTTTTTTACTGTTGTTAGAGAATTTATATGCTTTTTTTTTTTTTTTTAAATTTTATTGTACCATTAGTCTCTATTTATAATAAATGGTAGAGGGGGGATTTTATAAAAAAATAATGCTTATTCTAACATTTTTTTTTGACAGCAAAGTAACAAAAAATAATTACTGTGCTTATTTTCAGTTTTCAGAATTTACTTTTCAAAAAATTGTACTTTTTCATTTTTTGTATTTTTTTACTATTTTTTTAATATTTTAATCAATTTTTACAATTTTTAAACATACCTAACATAAATACACTTAGAAAATATAATATTTGTGAAAAAAATCTTCTAAAAATTCACTAAATACAAAAAATACAAAAAAATTGAAAATTCAATACAATTTTTATATTTTTGTATATTTATTAATTTTTTAAAATATTTTTTCCACAAATAATTTACTATTTAGATACATCTAAGTAGGGTCCATCTAAAAAATAAAAAAATTGCATAAAATTTTAAAAATATTCACTAAAAATAAAAAATATGAAAAACAAAATACTTAATTTTTAAAAAACTGAATTTAAAAAATTGAAATCAAACACACTAAATGAAATCTAAAACAATGTTTAGAAGCAAGAAATATGACAATGCCATTTAAAAAACCCCAAAAGTGATAAATGTAGTTGTCATAAATTTCATGAAAGGTCATTGTGATTTATTTATTAAAATAAATAAAATAATTATAATTTGATAGATGGTTAGATTAGGAGGGAATGAACTATATTAATTGGTATAGAACTGTTTAGATAATTCATATAATAACTTTATATGAATAAAAATTTATTTTTTATTTGTTTACTTTTAAAATTCGATTACACAAAACATACAGTAAAACTATATATATATTTGTTTACATAATTATGTAAAAAGATCAATAAATACATCAAAAACAAAATGAGAATATATATGTGGCTTATTTGAGAGTTCTAAAAAACACACATTTATGATGTAATCTTTTGAAAATATTAAATCATATAGAATGCATATAGGAATGCATAAAGGATATATATATATATATATATATATATATAAAGATTTTACCCCACTTTTTTGAATAATAGTGAAAATCTAACTTAAAAAATAAAATTATACAATTTAAACGATTTAAATCATATGTTAAAACACTCATATGTATTGCTTAATTTATTATACAATTTTATTTTATAACCAAACATCCATGTTATTCTCCATAGGTCTGTCTCCTTCGTCATCATATTTGTTCACCTTCTTATAAAATATAAATTTTTTGTCAATCAAATTAACTTTCAATAATTACTAATTTGGGCAATCATATGCAATTGAGATTCATTAAGTGAAATATTTTTTTAAAAAAACCTAAGAGGTAATTACCAAAAAAAGAAAAAGGAAAAACTGATTGACTTTTATAATAAAATAAGTTAAGATTTTGTTTTTATTTTGTCAATTTAAATTTAAATTTCTTAATTTATTTTCAATCTAATCATATGCCTATTTATGTTAAATAAAAATAATAATAAAAATGTTTTAGTTATTAAACTCAACAAATATAATATATGAGGCATTTTATATATACTTACATTAAGTTAAATGATTAAAACATATGCGTTTTGATTAATTTTACGTAACGAAATTAGAATGACAGTTTTAATTAAAATAAATAAAAATTAAGTTTTAAATTGATGATTTGGCTAAGTTGGATGGAACTAAAAAAGCAAAGGACAAAATAAGCTAAATAAGTCAATAAAATTATAAATATTTCACTTTTTCTATTACAAAAATAAAAAAAAAATCCAAACATTATTTCCAAAGAACATTTTTATCCCAAACTAAAAAAATCTCCACTCAAAAAACATTAATTAAAAAAGTCATTGCCAAAAGGCAGCTAAAAAATTTCAATTTCCTCACAGAGCAATGGTAGAGGGCCACAAAAAGTGTGGTTCAAATGGCTCAAAATTGTCAAAAACGACGTTGTTTTGGGCGTAAAACGACGCAAAACGACGTCGTTTTGACAGTTTTGAGCCATTTGAGCCACACTTTTTGTGGCCCTCAAACATTTTTCTTCCTCAAAATCTAAATAGTTGAAATTAATAATAATAATAATAACAATAATAATAACAAAAAAGTTGAAATTAATAATAATAACAATAATAATAATAATAAAAAAGGTATAAAAGCTGAGAAGATCGACCTGGGTATCACCCTGTTTGGTGCTGTATACCACCCGGATTCGCTTATACTTCAGAAACTCTGATTCGGGTTTCGTCCTCTACATACCACCACGATTAGTTTTTATACTCGAAGCTCTGATTCAGGTAAAGATTTTGAAGATTCTGCCTCAAAAAATTTCATATGAATTGCATCTAACCCTAATCGATGTGTTCCACAATAGACATGGCAGTTCCAATACCAAGTATGAAGGATTGGGGCTAGATTTCATGAATTGGGATTTTTATAATTCATTGTCTGATTGTTTTGATTCTGACATAACTATCGGGTGATCTAGGATTTGGTTTCTGATTTGTATAATTGATTTGTTGTTTGCAGGATCTTCAGTCCAGCGTAGGAGTATGATGAGAAATCTTGCAGTGGGAGTGGTGACAATCTTGCTTGTCGTGGCTCAGCTACCGTCGGGGCTGACCCTCCCATCCACGGTACCTGCGTTTCTCTGGTCGTCTCACCAAGATGGGTATGCAATTATTAAATTGTAATTGAAATATTTTTTTAGTTTATTTTATTTTTTAAATTTTATGAAAAACACATACTTTGATGTTTTTAGTATAATAGGATTATGAACTTACCTCGTTTTACAATTTGAAATTTGATTTTTTTTTGGTCGCCAATAACTCTATTTGTTGTATTATTACGTGTTTTGTGTCACCTCATGCTATTTAAAACAATCTGTCTAGAAAGGAAAGGTCTTTCAAATTTACTCCTCATTATCTCACTTTTCCTCTTGTTTGATTGGACAAAGATCTTGCACTAAGCGAGATGGCAAATTTACCCGAACCGACTGGATTTGTCCCAACCCGATTTTAATGAAAAAAAGAGAGTCAAGGTTAGGATAAAGTATAAATTTGCATCATTGAAATAGTTTAGTACAATCAAGTTTCGCCCGTGAAACCCAAAACATCCCGACCCGTTGATGTCACTTTTTTCAAGTTACACGAAGAGGGATCTAGTATGTCTCTTTTTCAAGTTACTGATAACATGTGTTGTGTGTCTGGTTTGACCCTTACCTCCAACATTTTGGTCAATCTGTCAGTGTATTTGATTGACCATTTTCAAACATATGAATTTGGTTGACACTTAGTTATAAATGGAATTGATATGTAAAAAATGCATAGAACTTAATTATTTGACAACGGAACAAAATCAACGGTGGTATGTTGTCTAGTTTTCAGTGGATGGAGTTACTTTCAGTCTAGAGTTTCATATGTCATCATCAAAGATTATTTTTCCTTGGACTTATTTTGTAATATCTTCAAATTTTCCATTCACTCAAACAAACTATAATTCCAAGATCTGAAAATCATTAGAATAGAGATCATATTGGTTTTCGTGGATGGTTAGCCTTGAGGTTTTGGAGTGGGGATCCTTTGGCAGATTGTACGTACTGAGATGGCAAGGGAACGCTGAAGGCGGAGGAAGTGAGAGTTAAGAGTAGAGAGTGCTTTTGAGCTCACCAAAGGAGGTCACCTATTTGTTGCAAATAGCTTGTTGTCTTCATGCTTGGAGCAGGCTTCCTTATATGGAGTTGTCAAACCCTGGGTGCTAGCTTATTCTTGCATGATGTCCCACACTCAGGGATAGGTGGCTCCTTTTGGTTTGACAATCAAGATGTTTTGCAACTGTGGCAAAGACAATGATTCATAAACTTATGTTATATCTACTTTCTTTTTTTTTTTCACTTTTGGGTCGAAGAGAAAATTTCTTATACATCTTTTGATTCGGTAGATTTCTTAGGAGAGCTCAATTTTGGTGAGGGCCCTATAGTAGTGTTTTTGTTGCTTTACACTATATTTACGTCTAGTGTACATGAGTGCACCCCTACGTGGTGATTTTAATACATTATTATCTTATTAAACAAAAAAGACACCCATTTTTTATTATTTGGAAATCTTTCTCTAGACTAAGGCTTCGTTTGGGAACAGGTTTTTTTAGTAATTTTTTGACTTTTTGCCTAAAATGTAAGGTAAAAAAAACTAGTATGTTTGGGATGACTTTTTGACTTTTTATGAAAAGATGTGCAAAAAGTAGAGAAAAAAATGAATCTTTTGACTTTTTGGTGCGAGTTGTTGGCTTTTTGATTTTTTTAGTGACTTTTTGGCGTTTTAGCTAAAAAAATCACTTGCCAAACGAGGCCTAAGCAACACCAAAGGAGAATAGCTTTCTATCGATAAAATGCTCCTAGTCATCCATTAAGTCCACATGCCCCTAATATGCTTCAACCTGTCTTTATATTTGTCTAGAGATAAACCAAACAAGACTCATCTTCCACCCCTTCATCCTTCTTATTGCCATTTGGCACAACCCACCACCACCTATTCATCTGAAAAAACTCTTTGTCTTCTATAAGCAAATTGTATTGAATTTCGGCCCTGTTTGGTAGAGCTGTGGGAAAGTGCTTATAGCTTATGCCTAAACAGTTTATAGCTTATAATTATGAACATAAGCTGATTTCTGACTTATAAATTAAGCATCGCTGATTTCTGATTTCCAAAAAGCTATAAGTTATAAGCTATAAGCTAAACCAAACACATCAAAATAGCTTAAATTAAGCTGAAAGCTGAAATAAGCAGCTTTTAAGCTGCACCAAACAGTCATCACCTTTGGTCTTGTTTGGAAAAGGATTTTTTTGGTTTTTTGGGCTAAAATAGCACTAATAGACAAAATAGGTTAAAATAGACAATAAGACAAAATGTCACATCAAACATATAATCATTTCACTTTTTCTCTCACAAACATCATATCCAATTACAAAAAAATCCAACCCTCTTCTCAAACACAACTATTTTTAGCCTTACTAAAATAGCCAAAAACTGAAATAACCTACTAAAATAGCCAACTTCTCAAACTCCCCCTTTGTCGCTACTTGCTATTGCTACTCTAAGATATGTCTACAGATCCTCCCCATGCCAACTACCCTCATCAACCCTTTGTAACTTGTGTTGATTGTTGTCTAAATGTAAGCTTACTTTCCTCTCACTTCCACTTCCAAAAATCTGCCCCCCGCATTTCATTTCCAAGGCTTAAAGCTTCCACGTGGTGATCTCTACCCCTTAAACATTTATAGAAGCCCCTACCTTATTGAGACACCTCTCTCATCTTTTTGCAGACCCAAAACAACCCATAATGCACCAATGCAATGAACGAGTTACTTCTTTGCCTCTTTCTTGCAACTTGAAACTCCTCCATTGATCTTCTCCAATGTTGAGCTGATAGAAGGTCTTCCACCACCCACTTGCACTATCCTACTTTTTCTATTCTAACGAGCTATCTCTCATATTCCTTTGACTTGCTGTATTCTCTACTCAGAGAAAAACAATCGTATAACTTGGGAACAATGATTATATCTCAGTATGTCATGAATTATGTGTCAAACGTAACATATTATATGATGAAACCTAACAAAGAATGCTGAAAACTATTTGATTCATTGCTACATCATCAGTAGTTTTGCACAACCTAGTGAAACTATGTTATGTTTATTGCACTTTGGGACGCCTTATCATTGTTTTTACAAGCTATTTTGGCTAGATTTTTTACTACTCTTGAATAGGTAAAATTATTGTATTTTCTTTTGACTATCCTAGTGAAATTAATTTAAGCAACAAAACTTAAGTGGCGAAAAGGTGCAAAAGGGCAAAAGATTTATTTTGAATTATAATATTTAAGTGTACACTACAAAGTTTTACCCTTGGTCAGAGCACTGCCCTGTGAAGGCAGAAGTTATGGGTTCGAGCGCCGTTAGTGCCTACAGATTTAATAAATACATCAATTCATCTCTCAATTTTCTGTGAAAAGGGGCATTGGGAGCAAAATTTCATTCTTGACGGTGGATCTTTATTTATTTATTTATTTATTTGTTTCTTTTAGTTATCTTCTTTCTCAACTCCTGGTGTCAGACACGCCAGCTGACATGTCCCTTTGTTTAGTTAATTTGTTTTCTAAGACATAGTGGGACACACCAACTAGTTCCCTTCCCTCCCACCCCGCTCTTCTTTAGTGCTTTTGATGAATGTAGAATGTTTATTATTTTTTGCCTAGATGGCAATGAACTAATGATACATTGGATGATAACTTCTTTGTCTTAAGTTAATTCTTATTGTGTTTGTGTTCGTGTTTGCTTTTGTTTTTGCTTTGTTTTTAAATTGAATTAGTTTTGATTTTTGTTAATTTTAATTGTTTTTTGATGTAATATTAATCTACATTGCAAATTAAAATATGTATATATATATTTTTATTGTTGTGTCTAATGTTTTGAAACCCAGATTGTTAAGTAAACCAGAAAAGGGACTAGATCAAGGGTTAGTGATTCAACCGTTGAGTCAATTGGAATCAAACTGTGATGTCACAATTACATCATAAATATATTAATAATTATGAATAAATAAAATATAGTCGTTAAAATTAAACAAATGTATTTATTTATATTATCAATTTAGTTTTAATTCAAAATTTAAAATTTTATGCTATTTTTTTTTGGGTACAAATATAATAAATAATATGCATCTCAACGTTTATCTCAAAAGCAGTGCATGGCTCAGTGGCGGGAGGCTAGGACTTTCTCACAGTGATCACAAGTTCAAGTTTCCAGCCCTGCACCTTTTTATGTTGTGACTTGTGACATGAATCAGCCGGTTGACCTGAACTGGTGGCGGTTCTTATGATTGACTGGTTTAACCGCTAGTTCATACAGTTCTTCTAAAAGACGCTGGTTCTTAAGAGCTTCCGGTTTTGATGATTAGCGCAAACTAGAACTTGGACTGGTCAGCGGTTCAACCAGTCGGTCAATTCTGGTTTTAAAAACAATGGTTGTGTACCTGCCATGTCTGTGCCCTCATTTTTTTTAAATCGCCATGTCCGTGTTTGTGTCCATGCTTCTTAGTTGCTGAGGTATTAAACTTTGTCTTTGGTTGGAATGTATGCTGAACTGCATGTTTCTCTTGCACCCTCTATTATGTTATATTGGTATTTTCAAATTTGAATCTAATGTACAATAGTACAGATTGTTAAACAGCAGAATGAAGGAAGCTGTAAATTATCAAACTCTCTCTTCAAAGGAGTTAGCCAATTCTGTTATGTCTGAAGGGGGCTGGTCTAGCTTACTGGTATTGTGTATTTCTTACCTTTCAAATTTGATTGAATTTTTCTCTCGTTCATGTATATCTATTTTTGTGTCATTGCTTTGCAAAATAAATGGTAATAATGCTTTTACATGGGCAGCCTTGATCTCTTATAATGGTTTCTTTTCCTCAGTGTTCGGGGAATGAAGCTCAACAGCCTCTGGATCTTGCACTTCTTTTTGTTGGGAGAGAGGTAAGAATCTCCAATCTTTGGGTGAAATGAAATATGAATTATGGAAGGCATCATATTGATATGTTTGTCCCGTACTTTCTTCTTCTTGTTCCTGGCACTGTAGTGCAAATTCTGCAGGTATAGTTTAGTGGTAAAAGTGTGAATCGTTTTTATTTCATTTTGTTTAATGCTCTCTGCCAATTAAAACGACAAAGCTTTTGGGTAAAATACATTCAGGAGCTCTTCACATATATTCAGACTGCAAATTTTGTTTATTTTGTTTGGTTGCGTTGCGTTCATAATAATAAAAAAAGCATTTATTATGTAAGACATAATAAAATGTATGAAATAACTATATTTGAGAGGAAAACAAATTTAATGGTTTCATGGAAGTGGCACATTAGAAGCCAATGTGCGTGCCTTACACAACCTTCATAAGGAAGTCTGTACAAATTCATTCATTTACTGCTTTTTGGATTGGATTCCATTCGCCCCATGGGTGGGAACTAAGGGGACACTCCTCCAAATTTTGCGCAACGAGCTCTCCTCGAAGACACCAAATTTCTCATGCACAGGTGCAATTGCTCCATCAGTTACACACCTAGAGAGGCCAACAAATGCGCAGATGGACTAGCAAATTTAGGAGCTACCCACCAAGACAATCTGGTAGTGCTTGATGACGCACCAAGTGCCATTGTAAGTCTGTTGATAGCAGACATGGTGGGGGCATCTTGTGTTAGGACTTAGTGTCCATTGTTTCTTTCCTGCTCTTGTTTTATTTCCTTTGAATCAAAAAAAAATAATTGGCTGTGTCTAGAAAGATTTTGGATTTGTTCAAATTTCTTGTTTTCACTAGAGAACATTGCAATCCTTGAGCTGCTGTTTCTGTTACTGGCTACTGATTTTTTATCCGTTCTCATCCATAGTTACAATCGTCGGATATTTTTGGAGCCAAACATGCAGACTCAGAACTTGTGGACTTTCTCAAGGTAACCCATCTTGACTGTGCTGAACTAGTTCCTCCATTAGTGATAATGAGTCAGGTTTCCAACACTAAAAATTGCCTCCAACTTGTGCCTCATGGTTACAACTTCATCTTGATGAGCAGGTCTCTTTTACAAGGGCCAATTTTTCATTGGCATTCCCCTATATTGCTGCTTCAGAGAATGAAGAGGTGATGGAAAGTATGTTGATTTCAGAGTTTACAGAAACTTGTGGGCATAATTTTGGTGCCAGTAAAGTTGCTTTCCTGGAGTCCTGTTCTTTAGAGGGAGGAAATTATGAAAAACTTGCAGACTTGCACACAGTCAATGTAACTATCTAGTATATAATCAGTAATTTTATGAAATTCATTAAAAAATATAGCAGGTGTATGGGAAAGGTTTAATGCTGTTTTCTCACAATGAAATATGAGCAGGACTATCTAGTTTCAAGGATGGAAAACAGACCGAAGGGGCAGGCAGATCTGGTTGTGGCCTGCCAAGGAAGCTCACATTCTGAAAGTATGTTGACACAATATCTCATGCAGGCATTGAAGATAATTTAGTTTTATAGTCCTTTAACATGTCATTTTAGCTGGAATATTTATAAAAAAAAGTTTGGTCAAACATGCAGGGCAGATTTTCTCCGAGCTTATCAATTCTGTGGAGCAGTCTGGGGCAAGATATACGGTTCTCTATGTTTCAGATCCAGTTAGGTCAATTCAGTATCCTTCTTTTCGGGAGCTAGAAAGGTTTCTTGCAGAAAGTAGCCCGGGAAATGAAGCAGTCGATTCGAGGGTTTGTGATGGAGTTTGCGAGATAAAATCATCACTTTTGGAAGGACTCTTAGTTGTAAGTCACTCGCTATCTTTTCCTTTTGGTGAAATCCACGTTTAACTACGGATGAGTGTGAAACACAGGGATTGTGTCTTGCTCAGTTTGGATGACAGGAATCGTGAGTAAGAATGGAATGTGATTTGTACTACCCATGATTTCAGTTTGGAATGGATTGGAATAAAAATATGATTTATTGAGAACCTATTCAAGCTAGAATCACATTCCCAAACTAAGTAGGAATCTGATTTTCCCACTCTCCCTTGAGAATCTAAGATTGTTGGAGGAATGTTTTGTGCTCCAAGAGTAAAAACTATAGTTGGGCCTACCAAATTTTAAAATTTTATCATTTTTTCATACATATTTCCTAATGAAACCAACGCTTGAATATTGACACAAGAATTTTATTACTGGTAGTGGTAATGCAATTCCTAATAATGAGATTTCCATTTTCGTTAAAGATTCTTGCCATCCAAATGCATAGCCCAGAAGCAATCCTTCTGTATCTTTATTTTGTGGTTTTATCTAATGGCATTTATGAAATGCACTTCATTCTGATATTGTTTCTTCTTGTGATGTTCAGGGGATTGTTTTGCTTATAATTTTAATATCAGGCCTTTGCTGCATGATGGGCATTGACACTCCTACTAGGTTTGAAACCCCCCAAGATTCTTGATCCTGAGATTGTTTTGCACCTGATAAATTTTCAATAAAGAAATTTCAGGGATAAGGCACGAGGTTATGAGGGTAATGGTTCTTAGAGATTTGTTCAGTATTCATTTCTTACTTGTGTGGTGTAACTTGTTATTGGTCCATTATTAGACTGTTTGTAATCCCTAAATACTTGCTTTTGTAAGTTAAAACACAAATGACATGGGATGGGACTGAAATATTACTTGATTATATTCTAAATTGATAATGGATTGTGATGACTTTTAAATTGATCTATTGTACTTGGATCTGTGATAAGATGTTTTGATTTAGGTGCAGGATACTGAGGATATGAGGTTGAAGCTTGAGAATCTGTATTATAAACTAGTCCACTTGAGGAAATTGACTTCCTCCCAAGTATTTTTTTTGAGAAAAGTTATAAAGCAGTTGTGTAACTAAACTATTCACAAAAATTACCGGTATGTTTGGTTTGTCTCTCGAATCGTGTTTTTAGGGAATAAAAAAAATTCAAAAACATGTTTAATTGAAATTTTAAAGAAAAAAATCAAAATTACTTTTCCATATGCACATCAATCAATCAATCACTTTCTTTCATATATATTTATTCAATTATAATAAAATATTAAATCATCTCAAATTTTAAAATTTCAAAATAATTTTTAAAGCATACAACCAAACAAATTTTTATAAATTCTCTTCAAAAAAAATTTAACAAATATTCTCATTGGAACGATACTTTTAAAAAAAAAATTAATGCTACAAAACATAGAAATATCTCTGTTATTGAACTGAGAAATTTGTAATACAAAATACAGAAATTCACCACCACCATCTCCTACCATCCACCACCACCATAACATTTTTAACAAAGAATCTGCTTAAAACAAATTTTTTGAGTTTTATGTTTTTTAAATTTCACTATTATTAGTCGGAGTAAATTTTGTTACTAAACAAAATTATGTCACCACCACAATCACCTTCGCTGCTAGAAATATCTGTTACTAATCAAGACCTAAAAATTTTTTTGGGTGGGTGAAGACCAATAAATTTAACCACCACTGCCATTGATATTTCTAACAAGAAGAAATTTGTCAGTTTACGAAGAAATTTAACCACCACCCGCCATCGCTGCCACAACCACATTTATCGCCATAGCAACTACCACCATCAACCGCCTCATGCTACTTGCACCACCACCACCAAAGAAATTTCTCTATTACTGTGCAAGGATAAAATCATCCCAATAACGGATTACCAGAAAATGTAAACCTCACCTTCCAAATAAGCAAGTTAACACAATTACAATACATAAAAATGCTTGAAAACGAACCTGCATTATTTGTTTTAATTTCTACATATTGACAATTATTGTAGATATAGACGAATAATATGCCACCCTAATGTACTGACAGTTACATCATGGCTTGTTTATTTCTCCATTATTTTCTATTTGAAATCAAGCTTCGCAAATATTCTCTCCTTACGCAACCTAAAATAACGAGAAATAAAACAACTAAACACAATGAGATCATTACTGCAACCCATAGTCAAACAAACAGTCATGTGGATCTGAAAACCCTTCATTGTTCGCAATTTATCACACCAAACCCGCAAGTCCTAGCATTCATCTTTGAGGAGGGTCCAGTGTCCTAACATTGGCACTGGTCATTCCTTCAATTCGATCTTTAGTGATCTCTACAAAGTGACCCACCATTTCATAAAACTGCTTCAGCCCTGAAAGCGGGAGAATGATGGAGGAGCGATCAGAACCAGCAACCTGCAATTATGATAAAGAAACCTCAGAATATTGGTAAATCAAACCTAATAATACAAACTTGTTATCTTTACGACATCAAAAGAAAACAATTTTCAGACCTCGGAAATTCTTAAGAAATGCCCCCTGTTATTGCTCCCAAGATCAAAGAAGAACCTCTTTTGATCAGCCCTGATCACCTTTGATACTGCCAAGTTACCAATTTCATCTGGTGGAGGCAAATCAACTGACCTGTCTACGTTCAATTCAGATGCGGGGGCAGGTTGGGAACTGTGCCCTGATATAAAGCCAGCTCCCACATCATCTGATAGCCCAACAAGGCGCTCTGAGGTCTCAGATTTTTGCTGATGTGACACACACATGCGGGAACCCAAGAAAAGTGAGTAAAGAAACAAAGGAGGCATTAGCTAGCGAGGCACCTCTTAAACAAAAAAGAGGGGATTAGTGCATGTGAAGACACCTGATTGGGCAGTATAAAAAGGCTTGATGATTCATTAATCTCTTCCAAGATGTTCCTGAACGCTACCCACCCTTCATCCCGGGCACTTCCTGCTGGAACAATAATAGTGCTGCGGTTTCTACTAACAGAAGCTTCAGACACCTGCTCACACAACTCTGTTAGTTCAGAGTACAGCTAAATTCTTTGGAATTTTCAAAGAGAAATAAACAGGTAAACCCTTCAAATTGTCTTCCATTCACAGTTTCAGCAGAGAGAATTTGAACACTAGAGACATGCAATCTCAGATAACATACAAAACAGAAAAAGCATCATACTGTGGCTCTTAGCATTAGAAGCCCCAATGATTCTCACCTCAATTCAAGCCAGCATCCTTAAAAGTTTGAATAAGTCACAGCTCCAATATATTTATTAAAAAAAGAAAAATTGCAGCTCCAATATATCTGCCAACTTTTAAAATGTGGTCATGAATTTACTTTTAACTGAGCATATGGCCCTTGATAGAGCAGAATGGAGGAAAATGATTCATGTAGCCGATACTGATTGATTGGGACACAAGGCTTGGTTTGGTTTGGTTTGGTTTTAACAGTGTTCCATGACATTTTGTACCATTTAAGTGTATAGCACAGGTTATTGGAAGAAGAATTAACTTACCTTCTACAGGACCAGCTTCCATTGTTGAGAAAAAATTCACAAAAGTAGTAACTTCAACAAAATATAGATAGACCTTGAAGTTTATTTAACATGAGCACTAAATCTGATGCCGTTTGACACAATATGAGCAAGCTAGGAAGCTGGCAAGCAACTTCTGAATCAAGAGGAAAATGATTTCGGGAATGACATGGTAGTAAAGACGAATTTATCCTATTGCTATCCTAATATGTTGTGTGTGTTAATTCTTTTGGTGTATAGGGCATTTGAAGAGGAAAATGTTGTGTTAATGAAATGATGACATAAGGGCCCTGACCTATGAATGCGACATATACAAAACAAAACCTATACCTCCAACTATCTACTCAAAAGGAGGATAGATCCTTCCCATGATCCAGCTGCACGATAGACTCAAAATCCAAACATTTTTCTTTTTTTCTTTTTTTCTTTTTCCTTTTCTTTGTGGGATCAAAAAAAAAAAATTGTATTAGAGAATGTGCTGAGGGAGCACAACCCTCATACAATGAGGAAAAAAGAAAAAGAAAACAGTACACAAAGAATCCCAAGACCAAAATACAAACAATAGACACCACAACTAACAAAAAACCTTAAACAAATGATGCATTCTCAGCTTTCATCATCAACTTCCATTTATCACCTCCAACCTTTCCAATAACGAAAGTGGATTTGATATCTGGATACTTTTCCTTAAAACTACCTTTTGAACTTATCCATGAAGACAAAAAAGGAACTGAAAGACTTCCTCCTCCCACCATGCCACTTTAGAGACTCACATCCCTATTGTCTATCATAATTAATTGGACTTTCTCCAGAACTCACCTTAAAAGTAGTACCTTACTTTTTCTTTCCACTATCAAAGACCCTCTCAGCTTCCATTATTTTTTTCTTCATTTTCTTCATTTCTTTCCCTTCTCCTTCTCCTTCATAAAAACCTTCGACCCATACATCTTAGGACTAGCACAACCCTCAATCATGCCTTCCATTCTCAAATCAATAATCTTCCTAACAACTAGTTTAATTTGATCTTGAGTTAAACAACCTCCCTTATCATTGGTAATTAAGAAGAAAAAGGATTACAAGAAACTGGAAGACAAGTCGCAAGAAACTCTCAAGAGAGCCACACTTCTCGCTCCCACTCCTGCCCCCACCTTTGCTCCTGCCGCCAACCTTAAACTCTTCTGTAGGTCCCTCACTCCCGCTCTAGCCCCTACCCCTGCTCCCGCTTCATGCAACTATGAGCCCAACCAAAATTAAAAACTGCCAGGTCCATCTAAATTCATTGCAGAATTCCATTGAAGCCCAATACCATAACAAAAACCATACTCATTGCAAAAGATCTTATCGAAAAAACTTCTAATCATAGTTGTCAAATCGGGATTCGTATCGTGAATTGAAATGGTCTCGTACCGAATCGCGAATTGAATCGAATCGTGAATCGTAATGATTCGGTCACTTTTTCTAAATCACTTAAAAACATATATCTACAAATTTATATGTTAAATGTATCTTATGAATATAAAATATTTAGACTTAAATCAACAAAAATATTATTTTGAATGATAATCACGTAATTTAATAAGTAAGAAGTTAACAAAGGCTCCTATGTAAAATCACCATCTTACCTTCTTTTTTTTTCTTTTTTTTTTTTTTTTTTTTTAAATTTTTTTTTTCAACAAACTTAGGGCTTGTTTGGTTTGTATCTCAGAAACAAATTTTGAGATGTTTTTAAAAAAATTTGTTTGGTTCAAATTTTTGGAAAAAAAAATCATAAAATCACTTTCTCTATAGTTAACAACGATATTGATATTTGGACAATAAGCATATATACTTTTTTAAGTAAGAGTGAGCAAATAATAAGAAAGAATTATTTAGGATATTTTATTTTAAAGCCTAAAACATTTTAACAGGTATAACTGACCTCACACATGTAGTATTCAATTTAATAAAATAGTAATAGATAATTCATAGTGTAACTCTAATCTTAAACATCTTTAGAAGATATATTACAATTTTTTGAAGGGGAAAAAAATGAGAAGAAAGGTTAAAAATATGTTAGGTTTGACTGAATCTGATTGGATTCTATAAAAAATTTCATGATCACTAAAACAATAACAAATCATATATGTTGGTTATTTTGATATTAAATACTATTAGAAGTTGTATTATGTCATTTTCACTAAAAAGATGAAAAAAAAATGAGTCGAAAATATGTCGAACACAATAATTTCAAAAATTGCATGAATCGTAAAAAGTGAATCGAATCGTGAATCGATTATGAATCGTGCGATTCACTAAAGATTCACTTCCAAAATAGATTCACTCATAGATTCGTATCGATTTTGCAAAAATTGCGTATCGAATCGTGAATCGAATCGCATCGCAAATCGTAAGATTCTGATAACAGAGCTTCTAATCAACTGAGGAACCACAAGTTTCCAAAAGGCCCTTTCGATATAACAACTCATCAAATCTTGCGAACCCAATATGATTACCACACCAAAAACCACTTCCCTCTGCAAAAATATCTCCAATACCCACCATGTGACCTCTCTATCTCATCCTCCTTCCTATCTCCACCAAGCCCCTACTTCCCTCAACTCTCCTCCCAAACTTAGTTGCACAAAGTGGGGGCAAGGAAGCAAGGACATATAAAAGTTTCAAAGAGTGAGAGCACCTATGGAAGCGTGTAAATATTTCATATATTAAATATACACATTCTAACAACTATTTTTTCAACGTATATGTGTCAAAATATGAATAAATATTTGAGATTGATGTCAATTATAAATTGTCTTTGTCAAGTATGCATAAATATTATGTAAATATAAAGTACTATAATAAGTTTAAGCCGTTTTTCTTTTGTTCCTTTGATATTTGTATTTTAAAGAGTTTCTATTTCAGTTGGGAGCAAGTTTCTTACAAGTTTTTTTACTTGGGAGCTCAAAAACACATTTCTCAGTAAGAAACATCACCTAAGTAGGAGTTTCTTGCCACTAAGCTCCTCACCGTTCTAAAGTACGACCCTACCTCTTTCCAATCCTTTCCATAATTTCTCCAAGCCCTTTGATTTCTACCACATCTCGTGCCACAGCTTCTCTAACCCCCTAACCCTAGATTAAAAATGCGTTTCTCAAAGGAAAAGAGCCATTTATAATCCCCATAAACTTTTTGTAGTAAGATTTAACCTCACACCTATTGAACTTGAACGCATTGCAACTAGTCCATCCTCCCTACACCCAAGCCCTACATCTTACACAAATTCCAAAAAAACTAGCATTGCCTCAATCTCCCTATTGTTCACAAGGCTAACAATAAAAGATTCCAAGCAACCCATCACACACAACTATCAACCAATCTGCCACCAAACCAATATGCAACCAATCATATCACAAGGCTCACAATAAAAGATTTCAAGCAACCCATCACAGTCAACTATTCCAAGCTCCTCCCCTCTCTTGCTCAAAAAAAATTAAAGAAAGGGGAAAAAAATGGAGTAATAAAAACCCATGTCGCACATACATAGTGAAAATGACCAAAACTTCTTTCTTGATATCTTTCCACAAGCCCTCAGTAGAGCATATGGAGACCTCCATCATAGTCCACTCATACTAAATACATCCCTACTAAGAGGCAAGCACTCTGAAATTTATCTTTTTTCTCAAACAAACCTCCACAACCATTTTCCCCCTAACGCTTCATTAAACAAATCAAGCCACTTAAATATCCAAATCCTATGCAAGCATGAGTAAAATGCTTCCTAACCAACCAATTGGCATTCAACTACCACCAACCTCCCAATGAAAATCCCTCTGTAACCTTTTCCCACTCCGTCAACCTTAAAGTTAGGATGTTGAAAATGAAAATAATGCAATAAGGCCAAAAAACATGTACTTTATAGCAAGTTTGAAGTGTGTATATAACATTTAAACAATTTTTGGGTTAGATATACCCATATCACAATATATCATGCATGAAAACATGAGTTCTGATTAAATTATCTCAAATTCAAATATCATGCCCTTTTTTTTTTTTTAAATATCAAGCCTTCTAATTGTAAGATATCATGTCACTCATCGCAAATCGTGCCCAAAAAAAAAAAAGCAAAAATAAAGACAACAATAAATTAGTTGTATCGCCTAAAACATCCAATGAATAGAAGTTCCCCAATGAAAGATTGTTAAAATAAAACCATAGTCTTTTGAGCTTGAGCAATTTAAATTTTAAGCATTAATGTACACAATTGAGTCAAAGATGGAAATAGGATACTATTCAAAATATTATAACTTATATGTGAGGCATCATAAGTTTAAAGGTATATCTATAACTCCATACTCTTTTAGCCTTTTAGGCATTATAAAAGTCATCAAGGCGAGTACAGGTCATCCAGACCATGCCAGCATATGACTCATGTTTGGTGGAACAACAATTTCTTTGAATAAGCATCTATTCCATAGAATTTTTACAATCTTGAATTCTGGTTGTGGTCAATCAAACTTTGCTAGTGCCTCAATGTATCAATTATTTGATAATTATTAGTCCTGGTTTTGTATGTTTATTACTTTTCACTTCCCTTTCTATTTGTTTTCATGTATTTTACTTACCCCAAATTATCTTTCTAAATTTATAAAAAAGAAACTCGCAAAGGTGTATTGAGGTGTGTCCCAGGACACGTGTGTCCACAAAGTGTCCCCAATGTCTTGCAAAAAAATAATAATTAAAAAAATTGACAATACGTGTCCGACACGCATGTCGCCGCCATGCTAGTGGAAAGAATCAAGTAGATTGAGGATGGTGAGAAAAGATGAAATCCATGCATTCTATACGTTCAAAGTACTTTAACTCATATCCTAGAAAGATTTGACTACAATGATAAAGCTAGCCAAATCATCTAAACAAAATAAATATGCTTTACCTTCTCTTTCCTTGATCTTCATAATGCTTATGAACAATAAGATAAGATTTTAAAAAACCCTACACTTTTGTTCCAATTCCATTTTGAACGAAAATGTAAGAAAAAAGACATTAGGAAGCTAGATTATTTTCATTAAGCTGTACGATTAAGTATTATTCTTGCTTAAGTTGCAATGTATTTTAGGAGTTTGCCATTGGTTGTATTGTTGAGAGTTTCTATGATCTTTTCAATTGTTAAAAAAAAAAAGAAAAAAAAGAAGGTTTTCAATTGTGAGGAGGTGGCTTCTTTCAAAGCACTTATCTTTGAGGCGACTATTTTTAGGAGATCATCACCTACCTGTGTTAGGGTGGCTACATGTAAGCCACTTATCAAACGCTTATCAGTTACTATCAAGTGGCAGAATGTAAGAGTCTGCCACTGTGTCATTCATTTGCCTTTTCATTTGGCAAAGGCTTAAATCCTAATCTTTTTCTTTTATAGCCCAAAAAACTCCCAAAAAGGGAGAGTGTGTGTGTGTGTGTTTGTCATGAACTTTTAACTTGTACAAATAAAAAGCCACCTTTCACTCAAAGGCCAAAAAGCAAAAGCCAGCTTTTAAAAAATATCCACGGCTATAAGGTTTAGTCTCTCTTTTCTTTTGAGAGAATGATCTTTGGGAGAGCTTGAATCACTTATCTTTGGGAGAGCAACATCAAGGGCACAACTACATGTATAAAACAAAAGCAAGAAGACAAAACTATACCCGTCCAATAAATCCTTTTTGCAACTACAAAATTCCCCAAAAAAGTAATAGAAAATGAAAATTCACTCTTAGCCGAGAAAACAAGTATTTTTTTCATGAATAAAGTTGAGCTTTCATCATTTTCATAAGATCTCTTATTCCTTTCCCTCCAAACACACCAAGCAAAGCGGACAACTCCCTAACCCAATTCAAATGGCATTAAAATTGCCAATAAAAAATGTTAAAATTCCTCATGTTTTCAATCCTCATCATGAGAATAGGTTTGAGAAGGATGGGGACATATACATCCATAATTCATATGCTCACTTATAAAGCACACATCCCTGTCTGCACCTCATACATTGATGTGGGGTCTACATACATATTTAGTGAGCCCACTCCATCACCAAATATACTTCAGATTTTCCCTATCAATCGAGTATCAATGACTGATTTTAGGTTTGTCTCCTCTCGTCAAGGGCAACAGTACAAGCTTATGTTTTTTTTTTTTTTTAGGTAAAATTTTTCATATATAATTTATAGAACTTAAATCATTGACCCCCACCGAAAAAATGTAAATTTTCCTGCAAGATGTTTCTCATAGAAGTTGAGGTGATGATAAATTTAGAGTCAAAAGTTACCTTCAAAAAGCGACCCCTTCTATTTTCGCCAATGTCAAAGTAAAACACCTGCAAACAACAACAAACACTCTCAACAAGCACAGTAGTGAAGGCAATTCAAGAGAATTAGAACAAATAAATGGTATTTGATAAGCATACCTTGGTGTCGAGCTGGAGTTCTTTGCTAAAGATGTCCTGATCATCGGAGGAGGAATTGACGTAGTAATTGAAGAGATCTAAGAACCAGGAGATACCATTGAAGGGGACTATGATTGTGGACCTGGTAGCAGAGGTCTTCTCAGAGATCTTGAGGTATCGTCCCCGAGGATTCTCCTTCAGATCGAAGTAGAACAGCTTGTGCTCCACCTGCAAGGTTTTACACAGCAGCTCCACGTCATTGTTATTGCCTCCGCTACCTCCTCCTCCTCCGCCGCCGCCCGAGTTTCCGTCCATGGATAGAGAACGCTAATCACTACCACTCTCACTACCCCAATCAAAGCAAAGCAAAGGACTGAAAGAAAGGTTTGAATTCCAAAGAAAATGAATATGAAAATGGAAATTGGGGGTTCCCCCAAACAGGTGGTTACAAAACCCTAACTGTGTACACAGATCTGGAAGAACCGTTTGATGGTGATGGTGATGGTGATGGTGGTGGTGGAGGGTAATGGAGTGCCAAACCTCTCGCACTCGGCGTTGGGCGTCTGACCCAAGTTATTTTCGGTTTGTACCTTCTGCCTTCTGCAAAATTAGGGTTTTGTTGGTTGGACCCAGTCCCGCCTTTATGCCTCGTTTAATCGGAAAATTAATCACTTGATTATTGATAATTCATTGTTTTTATTAATTTTTTAATTTTTATAAAAAAATATTTTAAAAATAAATAGAGTTATGTAACTAATACACAGACTTCGTTTGGAAAGAGTTAAAGTCACTAAATTAGTTTTTAAAAAATAAAATTAATTAATTTAATTAATAAAATAAAGTATTATATTTAAATTATAAGTAAAAAAAAATCTTTTTAAATAAAACTAATTTAATCATATTAAATTAGCTAAAAAATAAAAAATAAAAAAAATCAAAGGTAAATTAGCTTTTACTGGAAGAAGCCTCAATGTCAAACCTCCGCAGTGTTCTCTAATCACAGACAAAAATCAATTAACCCACTGCTCCAACCCATGACAGTCAACTCGTGGCAACATGTGGCCATGTCCTGTGACATGCATAACTTTTCGTTCTAATAGACTAGTGGTCATATAAAAAGATAAAAGATAAATTTAAAAAATTTCATTCATATAATTTTTTTTAACAAATCCTCTCAATGATAAGAAAAAAATAAATTAATGACTCAATCTTCTGCACTTATTTTTTCTCTCAAAACTTTGTCATGTCATTCAAGAGTGTTTGTTAGGGAAAATTTTGTGTGAATGTAGTATTGTTTAAAATAAATAATGATATATAATAATAGGTAAATTTCACTATTAGTCTTATATTTCAATTAGTTGTATTTTAGGGCTGGTTTGACAACCTTAGAAAAAGTCAAAAAATTATTCAAAAAATCAAAAAGTTGTCATTATTCATCAAAAAAATAAAAAAATTAATATACAAATATTAATACATATAAAGTAGATAGCCCAAGATTGGTACTGACGTAATGAACTAGTCAGTGACAAAGACCAAGAAAAAAAAAATTGTGTATATTTATTAAATTGGATGGTAAAATTGGGCCTGTGGGGGCCTACCATGAGTCCCGTTTTGATAATCTGAACCGTTCAATATGTAGAACTCGTCTAGTGCTATATAATTATAAAAAATCACATCTATCAGATATCGCTAACTACATGATCAAATCAGTTTTGTATAAAAATGGATGGTGTTATAATTAACAGTTAACAAAAAAAAACTAACACGATCAGATAGCTATCGATATTCAATCAACGTAATTTTTTACAAGCATATAGTACTCGACGAGTTTTACACATTGAACGGCTCCGATCAGAAAAACGGAACACGTGGTGGGCTCCCACAAGCCAAACAACACCATCTAATCAAAACCCGAGAAGGAGACAATATTTTCTCATCTACTCACCCGGCAGACTGCACTGCCAATCCGTACGGCCTCCTACCCTATCTTCTCCTACACACTTATTTATAAAAAATTTTAATACACATTTTTTCATAAAAAGTCAAAAAATTAACCCAAACATCCATATTTTTTTCTTAAACTTTTTAGTTCAAAAAGACAAAAAAATATAGTTATTTAAGACATCCCAAACAACCCCTAATTTGAACACATTTATTTTCTTATTTTTTAGAGAAGACCAATATAAAATGAGAGTTAATTTTTGGAGAATTATCAATTAATGTTATTTATAAAAAAAAAAAATAATTGCTAATTCAACGAAACCCCCCACCACTAACTAGTACCTGCCACTGTCATGGGTAAGCCCATAAAGGTTATAATTCACCACTTAAGGCCCAATACATAATTCAAATACTAAAGCCCAACGTTGCTGGAGCTTAAAGTGGCATTAAGAGCCAATGACATCTAAACACGTGGCAAGAGAAGGACAAGTCACATAAGCAGACAAAGATCCTGCAAAGTTATTGCACTGCACATCAGCCATTAATGGAGCTCCTTACAGCATTTATTGCGATAACCCCTCTCCATCACGACAAACGGCCTCACCATGAACAAGGTAAGCTAGAGCATAGACTTTCGGCCAAGGTGACAGGTCGGAAGGGACAACGAAATGATTAACAAAGGATATAAGCAGGCATCGAAGACAAGAAAAAAGTTAAGCTTCTCTATCACTAATCTATCTCTACATTCCATCTCTCTTTCTAACTTGCTCGTCGGAGGGTTCGCTGGAGGACTCCCCGTGTTCCGTTGAACTCTTGTGCAGGTTTATCTGTGGCATGGCACCTCGGACACTGGTTTGGGAAGCGTGGATCAGTCCGACCCGTTCCATCTGGAATACACTGTATCATTAGTTGGCGCCTTCTGTGGAAAACCTTTTGCTCCTTGCGCCAATTGTGCTCATTGTTGCCGGAGACCCCTTCCCAATAACCCTTCCCGCCACCCACCAAGGTGGATGGTCACAACTAGATCTATGGCTTCTCACCACAATGTTGCCGACCACCAAGCCGACCCTCCTAATCCAAACAACTTGCCGCAGTACTTCACAGAACTTACCAACAGCAGCAACCGCTTAGCAGAGCAAAACCAAGCCCTAATCAATGCTTTGCTTCAAAGAGACCTTCCCGTTCCTCCTCCTCCACCTCAAGATATCCCACCCAACCAAGACCGAGCCCCAAGCCATCCTATACAAAACCCTACCCACTCAACTTGGAAGGTTTGCGACCCCCTCCCCCAAACATGAACCTGCCACCCAGGCCTCACATCCATCGGTCCAGGCACCCACCCCTGAGGGAGAGGCCATAGTGTCCAGCCTTCGCTGCCTTCCGGTGGTGACAACATTCCTCTTTGGGATGCAGAACTCCGAGCCATGAAGCTCCAACTCCAAGGAGTCATGCAGAACATACAGAATAAACCATCTATCACAGCCAACTCAACGTTCGTTGCCTCCATCAGGGACAAACCCTTACCTCCTAAGTTTAAAATGCTCTCGATCGACTCTTTCGACAGTACAACAGACCCAGTCGATCACTTGAAGACCTATAGGACCCTCATGATCCTCCATGCATTCCCTGATGAAATCATGTGTTAGGCTTTCCCCGTAACAGTTAAGGGGTTGGCCTGACTGTGGTTTAGTCAGCTACCGACGGACTCTGTCTCTACCTTCCAACACCTGAGTGATTCCTTCCTCAGCCACTTCATTGGTGCCCAACGCCAACGATGTCCGACAACTCAACTCCTCAACATCCGCCAGACGGAGAGAGAGTTGCAGCGCAGCTTCGTCACCCACTTTAACACCGAGGCCTTGCAGGTGGCAGAAAATGATGACAAGGTCATTCTCACGGCTTTCATGGCCAGTCTACGATCATCTGATTTCCTTTTTTTCCTCTCCAAAAACCCCCCGACCTCCATGGCAACCCTATTTTCCAAAGCCCAAAAATACATGAAAGCCGAAGATTCCCTAGCAACCTGACAAGATCCTATTGCCAAAAACCCGACCCCTAGAGAGAAGAGAAAGGACCCAGAAACCAGAAACACCCAGTACACTCACCAAACACCTCAGTATACCGACCGACCACCCCGAGCCGACCGGTCGGCACCAACCCAACAGCCCGACCGGTTCGAACGATGCACACTCCTCAACTCTCCCATGGAACAAGTCCTGAACCAGATTCAACGAGATTATCCCTTATGGCCCCAATCGTCATGGTCTCCTTCCAACCAGCGAGACTAGTCCAAATACTGTTGCTTTCATTTGGACTACGGCCATAATACGGAGAAGTGTGTTAACCTCAAAGACCAGGTCGAGGGCTTGATACGTCAGGGACGTCTCAGTCGATTCACGGAAGCCCGCCCACAGCAGAGGCAAATGACTGAACCCATCAGAAACAACCGCCGGCCCACCCCTCCTCGACAACTCACCCAACCTAACCAAGGTTATGATTGCCCTCCACAGCAACCCCGGGCATAAGGTAACCCCGTCCCCCTTGTTGGAGAGATCAGAGTTATTGTTGGCAGGCTTGCTTGTGGAGGACCATCCCGCTCGGCTTAGCGGACAAAACTCAAAAAAATAAGGCAGGGCTCAGACAAAGAAGTTGCCACATTTAACCGTCCTTCCAAACAGCCCAAGCAGTGGATGGAGCCCATCACCTTTACGGAGGCCGACTGCATGGGCATCCGTTACCCCCATGACGACCCCTCGTCATCTCTGCCCTCCTCTCCAATTACAAAGTCAGACGGGTTCTCGTCGACAACGGCAGCTCTTCAGACATCATCTTCCTAAATGCCTTTCGCCAGCTCAAGGTCGGGGAAGAAAGTCTGTCCCCTCTCCAAACCCCATTGGTCGGTTTTACTGGAGATCGGGTGACCTCTATCGGCTCCATCGATCTTCCCATCACAATTGGCGAATACACACCCCTCAACTTCCCTATGTCACCGACCTTGGGGTCGGCACAGTGAGGGGAGAGCAGACCGTGGCCAGAGAATGTTACGTCACCTCACTTAAAGAGGTCAAGCTAAAAGAGGCTATGATCATTGAATGACTCAACGTCAGAGACGAAGACGAGCTGGTCAGAGGGGAACCAGTGGAAGAGCTTGTCGAGGTCCTCATCGATCCCACCAACCCGACAAAAACAGCCAAGATCGGCAGCCAACTATCCCCTCAAGCCAAGGCCGATCTTACAACCCTCCTAACTGAACACAATGATGTGTTTTCCTAGACCCATTCCGACATGTCGGGTATCGATCCCTCCTTCATCACTCATCGTTTGAGTATCGAACCCTATTTCCGACCCTTCCGCCAGAAACAACGCATCTTCAACCCAGAACGCAACACTCTTATTGCCTCTGAGGTAGATAAGCTACTGGCGGCACAATTTGTCAAGAACGTGGACTACCCCAGGTGGCTGTCGAATGTGGTTTTGGTCCGTAAGAACAATGGAAAATGGCGACTCTCCGTCGATTACTCCGAACTCAATCGAGCTTGCCCCAAAGCCCTTCCTCGTATAGATCTGCTTGTTGATGCCACGGTCGGTCATCAAATGCTCAGCTTCATGGATACTTTCTCTGGGTACAACCAAATTCTAATGCACCCACCTGACTAGGAACACACCTCATTCATCACCGACC